AGACCCTCATCCCAGGAGAACAGTTCTTGGCAAGTTGGTGTGTTCCTTTCTCCAGATTCAACTCTGTAACACAGTGAACAATTTGGCTTGAATTTGACCAGTCCTTTTTCTTTTCCCCCGTACCTCTGAGTTAAGAGATCTTTCTGAGATCCCAACCTGATTTTAACTCGGCTGATGTGTGTCCACATTCACAGCACAAAAGTTTTTTGATTATTATGCACCTTCTAGGCCCAAATGTTGAGTATCTCAATCGCCAGGGACCCTGTGGAGCCTTGTGATTTTATTCATGCTAAATTCCAGATTCACAATACTTGCGGGGATTTATGTGTGTTGTGATGACGAAACTAACATTAACAGCTTGAACGTGTTACCAAGCTTCATAATTTCCTTCTCCTTGTCTCACACACATTGGGATGCTTTTTGAAGATCTCAGTGATTAGAACAATTGCTATTTTTGTCCATATCTGTCTCCATAAAACATTTGCCAACTCAGCTCAAGTGCTGGGAGTTGCCTATTCTTCTTTCATCTCAGATATGGTACTCAACTACATCCTGGCTGCTGTCAAATCTTCTTTGCCAATCCAACTGTATTGGAGGAGAAAGGAAATTTTAAAGAAGGAAGGACTCTATAGCCTTGATGTAGTACAGGAGAGGAAAGAAGAGATTGTGCAACTGTTTTGATTTTAATATTGTGAAGGGGAAAGACAGTGGGTGAGGAGGGTGGGTGGGGGAATATTGGGGAGAGGAAGAGAATAAGAAAGAAACTGTGGGCAAGTGAGCAAGTATGCGTGAAAAAAAACGACACTGGCAGAAAGTGAGTCATGATGGAAAGAAGACATCAGAAATTGAGTGATGGGAATCTCCACTGTATTACTCAATGCTTAGACTATTTTCTCAGCTTATTATGCTGGATTTATTCACTTGAAATGCACACAGCTCGAGTTTCTGCTGTAGAGCCTGATTTTAATGTTGGTCTATAGTTAGCTTTGATCAAACAAGTAGTGCTTACACCATGCAATTACTCACTGAGGCAGATTTAGGATTGTCAAAGATTCTGCTCACCGAATTTCTGGCACAGATTTATCCTGAGGGAGATGGATCTCCTGGGAATTAACTGGCACTTTTACCAGCCGTTTAATTAAAGGATGTTATGGCTATTGAGTTCTCATCATCCAACATTTTTGCAACTAAAGAAAATTCTGGACAGAATGATGACCAAATTTATTTATCTTAAATAATAATCCTTGCATTTGACACAGTCGGGAGGACAAATTTCATGTCGGGAGGACAAATCGAATGTTTCATGGGATTCATTGTAATATGTAGAGACTCTATATTTTATAGATGAATGCGGCAGCCAATTTGCTCTATTTAATCTGGGTGATAAAAACAAGAAACTGTTTTGTTTTTCAGTACTGAAATCCTCACTGTTAATGAGCACAAACCACACCCAAAAAATGAAAGCAATGGGTTTGCTATTGGTTATAAATGACTTGCAGGCTTTTGGCACACCGTGACTGATATAAGCTGCAGATCTTGTAAGTTTCAGAAAGTTGAAATGTCTTATAACATGCTGGAAGGGATTTGTTTCCCCTAAGAGGAAGGAACGGCATACAGAACATAAGATTGGTTCAGATGAAGAAGAACCTTCAGCCATCTTATCTCATCCCTCCAGAATATCTACCCTATCGTCCTCACGTCACACTATCAAACTGTTTTTCTAAATGATTCCTGTCTTGAAATTGCCCTTACTGAGACTGCATTTTGTTGCTGTGTTTTTGTATCTTTACTGAGTTCTTACCTGGATATTGTTTGAATCAAACCATTTCAATATTGAGTGACCCGATTTCATGAAGGAAAAATTCCACGAGTGCCAATTTTTCTATCCGCAACTCCATATGATTAAAATTTATTGCTGGACATATGTGCTGAATTGTAATGCTCAATATCCAAAAACACATCACTGGCAGAATTTTAATCACGATGAAACTATAGTGGTCAATGTTGGCATGTCAATTCTGGAACTCCAGAAAGATATCGTCTGAATCACTACAATTCCCATATTAAATAAACGCTTATTAGAAGAGAATTGCTAGTGGTTGGGATAGATCCCTTTACTTTATACGTGTCATTTTTACTTTAAAAATACTAAAGATTAGTTCAAATAATTGGACGATTGTCTTTTGTGTGTGTCTGTTTCTGTTTCAACTTTGTGTGCACTCATGTGTGTGTATGTGCCCATGTGCGTTCAGGCCTATGTGTTTTTTTTTCTTCCACTGTGTATGTTTGTGTCTTCCTATGTTTCTGTGCTTGCCTCTCTCTGAGTCAATGTTTGCCTCTATCTCTGCCTGAATCAGCATTTAACTTGCTTCTCTGTCTGTGACTCAGTGCTTCTCTCTGAATATATCTCTGTGTTCTCTGTTGTATATTTGTTTCTCAGTCTATCCCTCTGAGTATCTCCCTCTTTCCCCCCGGCCCCACCTCCAGCTCTCTCTGTCTTACTCTCTCGATCTCCAGTGTACAAAAGGAATGATAAAAATGAGCCAATGTCAGTAACTGGATATTAGAGAAGAGTTCCTTGCAATAAATAGTTCGTCTGGAGCCTGGAGATTTCCATTAATACATTATAATTACAGTGTTGCCTAAATGCTTATTCATGTCTTCTTGAAATAGAGCATTACTGCTTCTCATCTCACACGCAAATAAATGTAAGTTAGACCTCTCAAGAGTAGATAGCCATTGCAGTTTTAAATGTTGTTCAGTCCGGGGACGAGACTTGGCTCATCTCCTACCAATTTTGTGGCTGATGTCCAGTACACTAAGTACGGTGATGCTAGGATATTCTCATATACGGTAGATCACAGTTGTGCTGTCCGTCAAGATATTTACTGGATAGTGTCATGGCCATATCCAGTGTATCTGTCTCACTGCTCACAATCAACAGGGAGATCAAACTGTGAATTAAAGATAAAGGTCAGAAGGCAAGATAATGACGCGCCGACATTGATAGTGGTGCTCAGTTAGTCTCCTGACAGATAACGTAAATTACATGATCAACTGTTGCTTTAATTATTATTGTCCCCATAATTCTGTGGTCAACCTCATCCTTCCCTGTTCTCACAAAATTAGGACAATGTACTCACTGTTCCTTGTGGCAAAGCTGTGCACTGTGGTGGATGGGGTGCTTTTATGCCACTTAGGAAGGTTGAAGAGAATGGAAAAATTAAACATCAATAATCACCGCTTATGTGACAAAAGAGTTTAAAAGCGTATAGATTACAGGAGGAAGAGAAGACTGAAAGATAGGCTTTAATGCATCTTCTTTCCAATGTTATCTCCCATTCTCCTCTCATGCAGTTGTTTAACTCCTTCCCTGATTCCACACGCACAGGCTTGTCAATAGAGGTCTCTAGATATCTGGGAACCCTGGTCTAATTGCTGCCCTGGCTGAAATCCCTTCACTCAGCCTGTTGGTATGAACCTGCATTCTTATGATTTGTATATGGCCTGGTACAGCACTGGGTGCTGCCTCCACCCGTATGACCATCGGGAAATTCCATAGGTGCTGATGAAGAATGAGTTAGAGTTAAAGGTTTGCTGGAAGTGACATATATTTTGCTGCCTTAAAATTTACTGAGAGAACTACTGGTTGAGCTGGATCTCGGCAGCTCCTTAAAAAGATGTTGTTGATCAAGGATTCCAGAAAGAATTAACTTTTCTGTAAATTTACAAGAATATTCCCTGTCCTCTTGTTACTCCACACTGTGCAACTGCTCTTGCCAATTCCAAACAGGTGGAATGCAAGCTGCGACTCCATTAATCCTCTCCTGAAGGAGTGTTGCTATTCTTGCGTTGCTAACTATTCATGCAACTTTGACAGGAATTGGCTGGCCATCCTTCAGCTGGATTGGTATCTCAAGCAAGCAAATAGATGACCCAGGAAGAGTGCTTTTAGTACAGCAGTTTCTGTGTAATGGAACTGATCCTTATTGAACCAGCAACCTTGAATCTAGCTCTAACAGCTTAACTCATTCACATTGCAGACCCAGCCGACTGCAAGTAAATCTGTAGTATTGAGCCTTTTAAAGCAAATCAACCTATTTTCCCCCATTCTATTTGCTTATTGGGTGTCTTGTGATATGTGTGCATAGTATTCTTATCTTTCTAATGGGGTTGGGTTTATAGAGGCCTGGGATGCTCTAGAACGGATTGTGTTTGTGTGAGAGAGGCAAGTTTGAGCAGTCTCAATCCGGTTTCTATTGAGAGTGATTTCAAAGATTAAAGATGACCTTAATTCTTTCTCCATGGCTGACTGTGTTCAACTTGTGACAAAATTGAGTTCCACACATCAGAGGCCAGCATTCCCTTCTAGTTTCAACCAGAAAGACTACGGCTGTATTATGTTTCATATTTAAGATTGTGAAGAATTATGGAACATCCTTAAGTTCAGCCTTAATTCTGGAACTTTTTAAAACATACAGCTTCCAAATGGCTTTTGAGAATTTTCCACAATTCTGCATGATTGTCAATTTTAAGGGAAAATAATCTTAGGATGAGGTAGAATTTCAGGCCTGGAGAAAGTGCTGAGGTTGAATCTTCAAAATGCGCTGGATTAGTTCTTGTATTGGCAGGCTGGTGTAGGCGATACAAAATGTGAACGTAGTGTTCTTCTGAAATGGAGGCTGAGACACTTTATTGGGCAGAACAAGAGGGAGCTTGGCATTGCATTTAACCTTTTTGAGAGGCTTGCTGTTTGGTTCTTCAAAGGGATGTTTTGCCCCAGGTTAGGGAGGAGAATAAACAACCAGTGTTCCTGCTCCTATTATCCACTGATTCCTGTTGGAAAATGCGAGCGTGTGAACAGCTAAAACTTATATATTATATTTATATTGCGCCCTTCATGCAGGAGTGATCTGAAAATGGGGAAGGAGAGGGCAAGGTGAAGGGACTGAGGGACGAGAGATTTTATTAAATGAGGATCTTTCTTTTTTTCCTAACAGAAGCTTTTAAATCCCTGATTCGTACTGCGAAAAATCATACCAACTCCCTGTTTGAGATGGTATACAGAACAATGGCAAAGGAGGCTAAGGAAGCAGTGACGGAGCTTTTCACCGACATATCTCTGTATGTCCTGGACTCGGGAGAGAACATAGAGGATGTTGTTTTGCGATACTTTGATAGCCTCTTTCCACTGGTTTACAATCGACTGATACATCCTGGCCTCACCGAGGTGTCCCAGGAGTACATAGAGTGCCTGCGGATGACCAGGCGAGATATCAATCCTTTTGGGGCTAACCCTATGAAAATGGTGGCTGAGATGTCAAGATCATTGCAAGCAATGAAGACTCTGCTTCAAGCCTTAAACATAGGCAACCAGGTGATCAACATTACTGAGAACGTTGCTTTCAGTCGAGAGTGTACCAGAGCACTGGTGAAGATGGAGTACTGCTCGCACTGTCAAGGCCTGACCCTCATCAAACCGTGTGTTGGGTACTGCCTGAATGTCATGAGGGGCTGTCTGGCAAACGCTGCTGATATCGATCCCCACTGGCGGGAGTACATCTTGACACTGGACGAACTGACCAGCATCATCACGTCATCGCATGGTGTAGAGCAGACATTGCTTGGAGTGGGGACTCTGGTTAATGAAGCTATTTTGCACGCCCAGCTGAATGGACCACAAATATCAACCACAGTGAGTAGTAACCTGATACCACAACGTGTGTGAAAACATTATCCTGAAATGTGATAAAGGGGTTGGGAAAACAGACATCTGTGGTAAAATACAGTCTATTTCTTTTGCCTGAATACTGTCTCTTTCAGTTTCACTCCCAAGCCCCTACCCGCCCAACAAGCCATGCAGATAGATCATCACAGAGTCACAGTGAGCAATGTCCCTAAAATTCAACTTGGAAAACAGAAACTGCCCCTTTAAATTTCAAACGGGTGTTAACAATGAATGGCAGGAGAGGGAAAAAAGTCTCGCTGGTTTTACTAAAGCAACTTTTGAAAAAACAATGTTTAATTGAAAAAATATTAAAGACACAAATACGCAACTGAGATTGAAAACAAAAATGGAAAAAATATGAGTCCAAATATTCAACAGTTTTTTTTGTGGGAAATGTTTTTCCAAAAAATCAGCAAAAATGTGAGAAGCCTCATTCTAGCCCTCTGTGCTGACAGCTACGTGCTGGTATGTAGGGATGACGGTCTTTAAGCTCCATTATAAAAGGGGGCTCAGTACATTTGGCAACTTTCCTGGTTTATTGTTGAGGGTTGATGTTGACTGCTGGTGGGAGCTGTGAATGCTTGACAGAACTGCATGGTTTCCAGGCACCAGATACAAACTACCTCCACTCGTGCGAAAAAGGCCAGAAAACTGTTTTGGCTGAATTAGGATCTGCTTTAACAGCTTGTGGACCTGAGATTGCACGTCAGGGGCAATAGGGAGGTAAGGTTCACAGCCTTTCTACCCTTTGGATTCAAGAATTAATAAAAATGGTAATCCTTGCATTTGATACAGAGCTTCATTGTGCATCTCGCAGTGCTTCACATTTTTCTTCAAAGTGTCATGACTGTGCAGGGAAACAAAGCAGCCAATTTGCACATAGCAATGTCCCACAAACTGCTAGGAAGTGAATGGCCAACTTTTTATCTGGATGACTGTTGGTCAAGACACTGGGAGAATCTCACTACTCTTTTCGAAAAGTGCCTTGGAATCTGAACAGGCAGATGGGACCTTGATTTAACGTCTCATTCAAAGGACGGATCGTCCACAAAAGAGATCTAACTGACTGATACAGTTCAATGATACTCTGATTGTGTCCACACTATTAGAATTGGGAACAGCCTTGATTTGTACAATGTCCAATTTTCAAATAGATTGTAACAAATGGATTGTGCAGACTGTGGTTAGTTTGTATAATTAATATATGCCCAGTAGGAACTTGTCACTTGTTCATTGTGGATATATATGCATGTATGAGGTCACCTACACTCTCAATACTTGACGATCTCCTTCTCACTCCCTGAACCTTTTGCACCTGAGGGTAGGTCTGATGGCTTAGTCCTCATCCATTCTCATGGCTGTTGCTGGGATAAAAGCAAAGGCGACTCAGGTCAGCTTTAATCTACACTGTATGGGGAGTAAATTGAGGTGTTCAAGGGAGAGATAGATGGAGCAGAAATACGTTCAAAAAATTTGGTGTACACTTTAAGGATGATAGGACTTGGGTCTGGATGATCAAGGTGAATGCAGTGGGAGGCTTGAGGATTTTATTTGAGTCCTGAGATTGGGCGGAGGAAAGGGCTCATGGCCACTGTTTAAGTGGCAAATTCTCAGGTTAGCTGGTTTCAGTTTCTGTTGCAGAATGGAGAGCATGATAGTGCAGGAATTGGACTCAACTGCAGCTGTGGATTAATCAAAACTGGACTTCATTGAGTCTCACTCTCTTACATGCTGTTTTCTTACATAAATGTTTTCACCTCATTGCTGCAGAATGTCAGAGATGGTACAGTGTAACTGTGCTGAGATTCTTTTGGTTGCAATAGTAATTGCGACTTTCTGAATAACACAACCAAGTAATTGGGCTTGGGGAATGTATAAATAATATAACCATAAAATGCAACGTGTTTCAGTTTATATTATAGCTGATGATTTCAATTTTATTTTTAGGCTTTACCCGTGAGAAACTGGATGAAATCCATGTTCATTGTGCAGGGGGCATCAAACCTCACCTGATGTCCTTACACACACAATTTCCAGCAGGAGTCACTGCATAATGATCAAGAGTATGAATCCTGGATGCTTTTTCCACCCACCCCAAATCCAGGATGAAAAGGCCAATGGCAACTCTCTTTTACTTGTCCTGGAAGCATGGTTCATTAGAGTCTGTGTCTGTCTCTGTCTATGTGTAGGTCTATGTCTCTGTGTGTCTGTGTCTGTCTCTGCCTGTCTCTTTCTCTGTGTGTGTTTCTATCTGTGTGTGTCTATGTCTGTCTCCATGTGTGTCTCTGTGTGTCTGTTTGTGTATGACCATTATTTCCTCATCTCCAGCGTTAGCCCAGCTGGTACCAGGAAAATGGGCCGAATAGTTTCCTTCTGTCTCATTTAAAAAAACAAGAAGGTTAATATTGTTATATATACAGAAGAGGAACACCAAACGGATTTCTTCTCCCCTCCGCCCCCACCACCACTTCAACTCTATGGAAACTGAAACACAATTAATCTGAGAGTAGATCTACTGTAACCCAATTAATCAGGTATCTCGTAGAGCAGAGAATGAGCCTATGACGTGTAGCTTAGTTTCATATTATGGACAATTCCATTTTAAACTTTTTTTTGCAAATAGCACAGTTAGTATTTTTCATTTCTCCACTGAGCTACTGCCAGGCTGGGGAGAGGGTGTCTTCGTTCTGCTTTAGTGTTTTTTTTAAATCATTTTGTCTTTTTTCATCTAGCATTTCTTATGTTCTTATTGCAAAAGGGCCCCTGATGCCAAATCCTCAATTAAGCGTTAGACCATCCTGGTTCACACTACCCTACCCAGTGCACAGACCTTTCACGGCCTGCTATTAACCCATTCACAGCTGAAGGATATGCTCAGTTTGGCAAACTTCCTGTGTAGTGAAAGGGACCTTTTGTGTGGTTCCTCTCCAGCCTGCGTAGTATAGTGGAGGAGGACTCCGATTCCTGTGGGTCGCTGCCAAAATGAACCCATTCCATTCTTCAGCTGCTGCAGAGGGTAGTGCATCCACAAAGCAGGCAGACAGTCAGAAGCCTTTGTTGATGCGGTACAGTGTTGAGAAACAGACCCTTCCTGAAAGCAGGCAGCACAGGGGGAACACTGAGCCAATAAAGGCTTTATTGTTTTCATGCTGTTGTTTTGCAGTGAGCATTAATTGAGAAAAATCACGCTCGAAAGTCTCTTTTTTGCCTTTTTATTCATGAATGAACGAGAATGTTGCTGGGACATTCGAGAGACACCTTGGTCTTCTTCAGGAACTGGGATTATCACATTTCCCCTTATGCCTGAATTTAACAAAATTCATCACCAGATATTCTTTTTCACCCCAAAACACATAGTTACTCTTCTTTACATTATATCCTGTGACGTCCTCATGACATGAAAGGCACTGTACCAAATGTAAGGATTATTATTATTCCAACTATTCCAAGAGTTTGATTTTCCCCCCATTTACGCTTCGCATACAAAATATACAGTTGATTCACTTTACAGTGTATTCTGCGAAGCTCCTTGAGACGTCTCAACAACATGATAAGGCTTTGTATCAAATGCAAGGAATATTATTATTTTTAAGTCCTGCTCTTTACAATCGCCTTTCCCTCCGTCTTGCTGAAGTTGATGCTTCTGTAATCAGGCGCTGATTAAATCATGTATGAACCTGGATATTGCTGACAGGCTATATATCCGTGTTGAGAGAGGACAGCCGAAACTTTCCCTGAGGTCTGTGTGCCGTTTTGATAATCGACCGAAGAGAGAATCGTGTGTTTCCTGCTGCAAGGCTAGGACGGGCCAAGGATTGGGGTAGGGGGAATTGAAGGTAGTTGAATGGCCTCTAAATTAAAAAGCAATGTCTAGTGATTGCTAGACCCAGGCAGTCTTAAAGATAACTTAATGCTCTTCTATCCAAAGACTGAGTCTGAGCAACTCAACAACAGGGTAGTTATGTAGAGAGGCCAACTCTCACTCTAGCAAGGCTATCCATAGCTGTGTGAATCAGCACTTCAGAACGTGTATGGCACTATCCCGGGAAGTGTGAATACTGGCTGGAATTGTATCTTCATTCACTCAGAACTCCCAGCTGAATCTCTGCTGTCCCTCAGACACTGAGCGACAGTCAGCTGAACTCACAACTGTAAAAGCAAAAGCAGGGAGGAAGGATTACATCTTTGGGGGCTATATCTTTGTGTGTGTGTGGGTAGGTGGGTGGGGGGGCATAAATGGGGGGTATCAAACTCTTGGAATAATTTGAAAAATAATAAGAACAATCCTTACATTTGGTACAGTGCCTTTCATGTCTTAAGGACATCACAGGCTATACTAGAATAACTTATGTGTTTTGTGGGTGGAATGAATTTTGAATTTTGGTAAAAAAGGAATTCAGGACCTTTTACCTTTTTCAGACAAACACAAACTGTTTCTCGACGACATACTTATTACTTGCAGTGTCAAATGTATGCCAAGGCTCTGGATTCTATCCTCAGTAACACTCTTCTATTATTATTCTATTATACCTGCCAAAGAGTGAAAGGAGACCTGGAATGACTTATCGCCATGAAGTATGAGCCATAAATTGAATGGCAAATTTTAGTTGAGAGAATGTTGCCCAGGACACCAGGAGAATCTCCCTTCTCTTTTCGAATGGTGCCATGGGATCTTTAATGTCCACCTGACTATCGCAGATGGGACTCTGGTTCAGTGTCTTATCTGAAAGACAGCAACTTCACAAAACCTTCAGATTATTCATTCATCCCTTTCTCACCATTATTGAGCTCCTATGTCCCTTTACTATCTCAAACACTAGCGCGCTTTCTCTCTTTTTGATCTGTATAAACATATATCATCACTGCACTTGCAACCTTGCTGTGCCTAGGTCTTCAACCAATGGAAAGGATGCAATTGTTTTTATGTGGCTGTCTGACACAATCAGCAGCATTGCATTCATATTACT